GAGAGAAACTAGACAAAAGCAAAGCCTGAGTCTGATGCTCTCCTGATGTGTGAATTCTTCTGTAAATGACACCAGCTTCATCAAACACTAGGGGAAAAAAATTCTTCCTTTTTTTCTTTCTTTACCCTCCCTCCTTTCCTCTTCCTCTGTTCCCATCCCTCCCTTTCTCCTTCCCTCCCTTCCTTCCTCCCTACAGATTCTTGCTATGTAGCCCAGACTGGCCTTTAATTCACAACAATCCTCCTGCCTCAGCCACACAACTTCTGGGATTACTGATGTAACTTGGGAAAAGATCTTTATAAGTGCAGAAATTAGTGTGAAGGAACTGAGTTTGCAATTCCATTTAAAAAAATAAATGAGATACCTTAAGATAGTGCAAACAAAATTAAGAATGGCTACATAGGAAACATTTTGGACCCCACCCCCTGCAAAACAAACAAAAAACCCTGTGCCTTTAGCTCATCTATTTGTGTTTCCACATGTTTGAGACAGAACATACAACTATATGCAAAGCACAGGCTTCCTGTGAGGAGGCCGCTCTAGCTCCAGGTCCCCAGAAGCAACAGAACAAATACCCCATTCATCCCTAGATGACATCAGCCAGTTTCTGCCTCGTTAGTGACCTAAAATGAGTTGGGGAACTTACTATCTTCAGTTCATTTGTACTTGCCCTCTGAGTTCTGCAGCAAAGCTGATTTTTTAAATATAATTGATATTTTATTGTACTTAATTTAGTCAATGAACTAAATACTTATTATAATATATATATATATATTTAATAATTTAATTATATGAAACAAATGATTGAGAGATAGAGTGGATATATAGGGTTCTTAATAGATTCCCTTTATCATAAAATAAAGGATTTATTTCTATCACTTACTGTGTTTTTACCTATTATTGTTGTTGGTACCAGTTTTTGAGGCAGGGTCTCATTGTATTGCTCAGTCTAAACTTGAACTCCTGGGCTTAAGTGATCCTCTTGCCTTAGCCTCCAACCTAGCTGAGACTGTAGGTGCATACAAGTGGTATTTACCTATTTTAAGTGTTTCAAATACTTCAGTATTTAAACTTTGAAATAAAAATGTGGTACATTCTTCTCTTGGAAGAATTTTGTTAGTTTTTCTCCTAGTACTATCCTATGTGCTAGATGATCCTCGTTGGTATAAAAAGTTTCTATTTGTGAAGGGCTGTAAAGACTTCTTGTCCCTCAGGCCTTCTTCACAACGTTTTTTGTCGATTGTTTCCCTCATGTTAGCTTGCCAGCAATAAGCAAAAATATAGCTGGGACTGTGTCAAAAAAATTCACTGGCCACATTCATTCCTCTTCATCAGAGTTTCTTCAGTAGTGTCCCCATCCAGTGGCTGTGCCAGCCAGCAGAAACAGCTAGTTGTTGTCTGCAGTGAAGAATAATTGGAAGCATGGTGCCTGTTTCTTTTCCTGTGAGTAACAATCCGGCCATTTAACATTCTTTCGGTGCTCTTGAACTCTGTGGTAGAGCCTGTGTTCCCTGTTCAGTTGGGGCCAATCCGAGAAATGCCGACCTTCCTGCCTGCTGCTGGCCCTATCAGTTTGCAGCAGTGACAGCCATCTGATGGTCTGGCTCTTCTACCCAGAGCTAGTGACCTGCCACACCAGATCAGGCTGGAAAACGCTAGGCTTGTGGGGGGGGGGGATCAGCTGCAGGGAGTCATAATGACGAGAGATAAAGTTAATGGCTATTATATTAACCATTGTCTTCAATAACTTAAGAAATGAAGCCTAGGAAGATTGCTCAACCTTCCCCTTTCTTCTGCTGCCTAAACCACAGTATTTGTTCATGTTTTCTGGCCAACTTAATTAATTAGGTAAACATTGCATAAGCAGTTGCATATTCCCTTGTTGTATATAAAAATATGCTTTATATATTATTTGCCAATCAGAAACATACATGTGCCGGGCATTGTTGGCTCACGCCTTTAATCCCAGCACTCGGGAGGCAGAGGCAGGCAGATCTCTGCGAGTTCGAAGTCAGCCTGGTCTCCAGAGCGAATGCCAGGACAGGCTCCAAAGCTACACAGAGAAACACTGTCTTGAAAAGCCAAAACAAACAAACAAACAAACAAAAAAGAAACATACATGTGTGTCTCTGCAGACAGTGAGTTTTGGAGTCTGTAGCCCTGGCCGTTCTTGCTTGTTTTTCATGCTGCGTTCTAGAGAGTTCTGAAAGGAGTACATCAAAGCCTAGCATTTGATTGCCCATCTCATCACACACTCCTCTTCTTCTGATTTCCCTTTTTGATTTTGTGCTTTTCCTTTCTTTTCTTTTCTTTTCTTTTCTTTTCTTTTCTTTTCTTTATTTTGTGCAAAGAGCTCACAGTTCTTAACAGCTTTTCACGTTTGTATGCACCCCACCGGAATTAGGCCCCCATACATATACAAAATAAAAAAAAATGTGGCTTAATAAACAGAAATGCATTTCTCTCAAACGTGAAGGATATTTGGAGACAGGAAGTCTAGGGCTGGTTCAGTAGCTCCTGCATCATCTGAG